GCAGCAAGTTTGAAACTAAGTTGAATGTTGAACACCTACCTTGGATAATATCTTCTATGTGATGCTTCTTGATCTGTCTACATCATGTGAATGCCTAGGTGGATATTTCGTCTAACCTTCTAGGTAGGGGGGAAGTTAAGACAGTTTGGTATCACTCAGTAGTCTCTAATTTTACAGTTTGTTAATTCTTGTATTCTACATATTCTTCTTAACTGTTTCACTCAGCTAAATCTTTCCTGAACTATTTTAGAAACACTTTGTTATGTTTGGAAGAGGGCTAAAACTGTCAGCTGATGATTGAGGTGTCACTAAATCAACTCATTAATACTGTTGTGATCAGAAACTTAAATTTCTGCAAGAGATTGGCGAATATCCTCTTGTCAGACTTTGTGAATTCTCTCTATACACAACTTTTTCCTTGAGTCTTATCGTGTGTGGCTAGAAGCAATCCAGAAAGACATTAAACTCGGAAGACTTTGTATAGAAGCTAGACAGTATCTTATTTTGCACGAATTTTATGTGATCAGAAATGTTTTAGGTATGAAAATACCAAGTGACTGTGAGACAGTAATTAAATAAGTTTTTTCATTTTAGATGAAGTATAATTATATTTCAATAGTTTACACACAATGATAAGTTTTGTTCTTGGTAATATTTCGAGCTAAATTACTGCCCGTGTTTACACTACTGTCGGAATTGTTTTGTTCACACATTTATGATTTGTACTCATATACATTGTTCATTTTTTTGTTAATTCATTTGTGTGTATTCAGAATTACATTCCTGGTTGTTGACAGTTGTACTGCTGAGTCACCCTTGTACATGTAGCCGGGATAACCTTAGTGAATATATATTCTGTTATAAGTCTCTCTTTCCATTTGTTCATATCAGTTTTAAGAATACACACATTGTTCCAATCGATATTTTGGCTTTTGTCCCATGCATGGGCAGCTATAGATGAATTTTTTAAATTCTTGTAAGCTTGTGTTCCTGTTGGTTGACCTTTAGTTAAACGTTTATGTTCATTCACTCTTATTTTGAGTGATCTGGACGTTTGGCTCACATATTTAGTCGGACACTCGGCACAAGATATTTTGTAAATCAAGTTGTTTTTATCCATCATTTTTATGGGATCTTTCAGTTGATTTATTTTATTTTTGGTTAGATTTGTCGGTTTGAAAGTTGTGTGAATGCCGATATTTTTGAGGTTTCTTTGAATTGCCTCTGATGTACCATGTTTATATGGTATTGTGACTCTTTTTGCATTCTTCCATCTTGTTATTCTCCGGTTTTACCCTCTTTTTTCTCTTTTTTATATTATCTTTGATAAACTCTTTTGGGTAATTGTTGTCGAGTAACATTTTGAATAGGACGTTTATTTCTTTACACTGGTCTTCTGGCGTTGTTGTAAGTCTACGTATTCTATCTACAAGACCTTGTATTAATTCTCGTTTTACCATGAGTGGATGAGCGGAGTGATAATCAAGGAATCTTCCAGAGTGTGTGGTATTTTTACATAATGTCGTTTTTATGCTAACATCGTTTACTCTTTGTATTTTGCAGTCTAATATAGGCAGTTCCCCAATTTCATCGTCTATTTCCATAGTGAATTTTATTGAGTCGACATGACTGTTTATGTGTGAGGAGAATTTCTCAACATCGTTTTTTTCTCATTATTACTAACGTGTCGTCTACACATTACCAATAACAAAACTTATCATTGTGTGTAAACTATTGAAATATTATTATACTTTACTTGATCTATTCCACAATGCTCAGACTTTTTTAACTCATTTAATATACTGTCAGTATTTCTACCTAATTTCAAGTCGACATTCATATTCTCTAATGACACTACTATTGTGCGTCGGTGGCATAGTGGTTAGGACGCTCGCCAACCGTGCACATGGTCCGGGGTTCGATCCCCGGCCGACGCACTCCTTTGCCTCGCTTAGCCGGAAATAATGCTGGTGAAGAGGAAAGGTTGGGCATGAGGCTAGCAACCCCATCCTGTAAAATAAACACTGCTACAGAAACTTCAAGCCACTAGCTTGAAGCCCTATGTTCCACTGGGGAACGTGAAGGAAACAAAACAAAAAAAAAATGACACTACTATCCATGTAAATGTCCTGTTTATTTGTTTCCTCCCATTAGAGTACGTAAATGTAAGGAGAAAATTAAATGTAACAGTGTAGTAGACGCTGAAAACTCCACACTGTATGAAAAGTTATGTTAGGCTTGAAGATGTTATGATTTGCAATTAGAAGTGTTCTCTGAGCTGGTTGGTTTAGTTGCGGAGCTTTCGGCGTCCTACTGGACAACATCCCCCTTCAGCGCAACTTTTAGCATAAAGTGAACTGATTTAAATTTTCCATGAGTGATAGAATCGCGTCTCCCGGCAACCATCTTTACACATGTATTGATCATTTTCTATTGACTTGGATTTTAAACTTTCTCGTCACATGATTTACTTTTTATTAATTGGTAGATTTGGTATATATTAATTAACATGTTTGTTAATTGCGTATTCGTTTGATTACCAGGCTTCTAGGAATTCGCTGACACTTTTGGTGTTTCCTCTGTCTAAAATTTCGACATTTTTCCTAACCGTTTGAAAAAGATATAGCACACAAGCCAGTCAAATCACTTAATTCGATATTGTGTGAACTGAAAGATCCAACAGAAAAAGGAGATAAAATTAATACTATTTACAAAATAAATTGCATGTATGAACTGTAACAGATATTACATCGGTCAAAGTGGGCGTCCCCTTCGAATCAGAATCCAGTAACACAAATCAGCTGTGAAAAGATATGATATATATTCCTGTTTCATATCAATGCATATAGATTATTATGGACATCAGTTTGATTGGGATAATGTCGAGATTTTAGACAGAGGAAACACCAAAAGTGCCAGTGAATTCCTAGAAGCCTGGTAATCAAACGAAAATGCAATTAACAAACACGTCAATATAGACGAAATATACCAACTAATAAAAAGTTTAAAATCTAAGTCAATAGAAAATGATCAGTACATAATATGTGAAGATGGTTACCAGGAGACGCAATTCTATCACTCATGAAGAAATTTAAATCATTTCACCTTATGCTAAAAATTGCGCTGAAGGAGGATGTTGTCCAGAAGGACGACGAAAGCTGTGCAACTAAACCAACCAGCTCAGAGAACACTACTAGTTGCAAATCATCCACCTGAGCTAAAAATCTTCTCTATTATTTCAAGATGTTGTGATTATTTGGTGAAATCAGAGGCACAGTGAACGATAAACTGTTCTTGTTTCATGTCTCAAATCCTTTGACGTAGGACTCGTTTTACGATTGGCTTAGTATCACAGTAACAGAGTTAGAATGATATGGACTGTTTATTTCCAAATTTTGTAAATTTTGAAAATATTTACACTACTAGGACAACTAAAAGAGTAATAGGCAGGGAGAACGGATTCGGAATCAACCAATGCTTCTCCAAAATTGAGTAATTGAAGAGGCAATAAACATGCTCACACAAGTGCTTCAATATAGTCTATCTGAGATGTCTGTTAATAGACAATCGACAAGCATTTGTAGATCTATAGGGTATTTCAAATAAAACATTTTAGCATTTATACAAAAGTACTAAGTGTTAATTTCCGAGATCGGATTTATCCTGATCATTACACCGATCACTTTTATGTCAATGTTTCCTGAATCCTTGGTCTTTTTCAATTCCATAACATCTGAATTCGATACCAGTTTAGATGAATATTTGAATTTAGTTTAAGAACCACTGCGAATCAAGGAGTACTGGATAGCTGTTTCGTCCTAGTTGAAGACTCTTCATAGCATGCACCTATAACATCACCAGCAAGGGTCGAATCCAGGATCTCCAAGCTTCGAGGTTCCCCTGTTGACCACTCAACCACTGGGATGGAATGCAGTGACGCATGAATTCCAGCTTCTGTCAATTTGAATGACTGCTGGATCCTACTGATCACGACTTTCACGAAATCTCCAAGCAACTTTAGTAGTTAGAATTTATGAGCCATTCGTTGACGTCTCAATGGCTTAATAGTCAACGGACTCTTTTGGTGACGTGAAATTTTTGGATTATATCTTTGATAGGGTTATAAATGTGTAATGCTGAGGAGTCCCGAAAGGGACGAAACAGCCATCTAGTACTCCCTGGTTCTCAGTGGTTCCTTAACTAAAGATAGTTCGTGAGTTAAGTAGAAATCAATTCAAAATATAGAAAACAGAATTTGAAAATTTAAATTCTGTGTTGGATATGAACAACGAAGTACCAATTCGACTGCTTGAAGGTGGTTACGAAGTGTTTTCATCTAAGCCATTTGAAGTTTTCTATCCTACATAGATATTGTTATACATTTTCTGAAATTTGACATCAAAGTTTATGAACTACTCTGAATCATGTTATTTTCTGCTACTCAGACACATGAATCTGCAAGGTCAAAATTTATTAGGATCCACTGATATAAATCGATGATCAACTCGTAAAAACAAAACTAATCCTTACAAACTAACAATAGAAAATCAGGACCATGTTAACAGCTATACATGTTGTATTCAGTGTATTGTAGAATATGTACTCTTAAAACTCCATCTTTTTGTAAGGGAAATTCACATAAATCAAGTCAGTATACATAAATCTCTCCTATTCGTCATCTCGTCTACATGTAAACAAGGTCATTTTAATGCCCTATGTGAAATTAAGATCAGACTGTTAGATCTCATTAACATTGGTCACAACAAAATACATGATGTCCGCATTTTAGACACTAACTACACTTATATTCACTATGTAATATAAATAGTAATCATGTGCCGGGCATTTGATTGGATGATCCAACTATGCAAAAATGACTCATGAATAAAATTCTAATATGAAAAATACTGATCTTTGTAATTAAGAGGACAGATCAAAAGTCAACATGTTGTTTTGATTTTACGCTATTGGTTGTCTACATAGTCGGACAAATTTTGAAGGTCAAAGTGATCAGTTTTGGTGGTTAGGCAAAACACGTCTGTCATTTTCATTCACACCTTACTGTCGAGCACTACCAGATAAAGAGAACGGCTGTGTTTTTGGCATACACGCTCGATTGGGGGTAATACCTATGATTTCATCAATCAAACGGTATCATGGTAAGTCAAGTGTTTTAAGTAGTTTGGTTTCGATGGCCATATTTAAATTTTTATTTTCTTTCGCAAGAGTTAGTTTGTAGGGATTCGAATTGTTTGATGTTTGAACTATTGAAGACTGGAAGGAAGTACTTACTAGACAGCCGTTTCGTCCTAGTTTGGGGCTCTTCAGTAGTGCACACATGACTACTGCCAGGGGTCCAACTCAGGATTTTCAGTTTTGTGACGGTAAGGTCGTTGACTGGTCAATCAGCCACCTGGACCGGAATCCGGTTGCCTATAAATTCTAACTCCTGTTAATGAAGCAGCTGTCCAGTACTCCTTGCTGTTTTTCAGTGGTTCTCTAATTAACATCAACATATATCATGGCAGAAAGTCACTCATTGGAATGGTAACACGTAGGTAGTTGACTATCTCAAATGACCTCGGCAGGAATGTTTTTTGTTGTTAAACATAATCTTCTGTTTCAAAAAATATGTCAAGTCTTTATTTGCCAGTCACTATTCAATAATTACCAGTAGTTAGTGTAAGGGACTGGATAGTGTTCATGTGTTAATTAGTTGACAAGCTGATATTATTTTACTCTTCATTAGAGTAATATTGATTAGTTTTTGTGCATTATATTACACTCGATTTGTGACTTTTGGAATTGTTGTCTTCTCTGGGATAGGCAGTTTTGCTGAGGTTTCCATTATCCTTAGGGATAACACCTTCATCTCTAACTTCAGTAAGAATCCAACAATACCAAAAATGCTCTGTTGAGTTACAAATCTTAATGAGGATAAACTATACCAGCCACTGAATGACTTAAAACAAACAGTCTGAATGGAGAACTATAAAAAACCCTTGAGTTTGTAGGTAAATTGTATATTTGAATGATTAATCTGTTAAGTTGGACGATTCTGCTTTACCGTAAAGCCTGACCCTGAAATCATTTGGACGTATATATATATACATATATATGAAACTTTATAACTGATATCCCTCACTGTAACTGGGATGTATTTTTGAGCTACGTCAGGGTGAAGTACCGTCTTTAGCGTGTTTCATTACCATTCTGTGTATTTTTATCGTAAATAAACTGCTATTTTTGTGCCCAATACATGGCTTGTCTTCATTGGTCAACTCAAGTTCATTGGTGCGTCCGCAGTCCGTGGTGGTCACCTAAATTTTCTCCACTTACCACTCTCTTGTTTTGTTTATGGCAAAACACTAAGGCTATAACTGTTTTACGCGTCCATAAATTATTTAAGTTTGGTAGTTTTATAACTTGTCAGACTGAATTCTGTGTGATAAGACTACCCTGACTTTGTTGATTTTATTATTATTATTGTTAATATTTTTCTTGTGCGTTGAAGTTTCTGCAGCTGTTTGATTGATTTTCTGGTGTAGGGTCACTAGCCCCATGCCCAACCCTCTCTCTTTCCCTGGGTTTGGGAGCGGCTAGAAAAGTAGGGAGCTAGTAAACTAAGTGAGACTGACTTTGTTGATAATACAGCCAATTTGGTAAACTGACGGAGTGTTGGTGGCTGGATCCCCATTGTGACTAACTGTATTTCTTCAAATCTAACTGTTACTCTGCTAAATATTCAGTGGATTTATTTAATGTCATAGGGTTGAAAGGATTATTTTCTGAACAAGGCTTTAGCACTATGTTTCTTAACGAAATGTAATGTATCGGTAGATTCTTTTTTTATTGCTTCACATTCCCAGTGGAACATAGGGCTTCAAGCTAGTTTCGGTAGCTGCTAGCCTCATGGCCAACCTTCCCTCTTTACCAGTCTTATTACTGGCTTAGCGGAGTAAAGGAGTGTGTTTGTGGCCGGGGATCGAACCCTGGACCACATGCGTGGCTGGCGAGCATTCTGCCGTTGTGCCACCCGACGCAGATTACTTAATAGTAATATTACACAACAGCTGGCAGCTAAGCATACTCCATTTTAACTCATTTATTGTATTATTTTATTTCTGGGAAACTCATTTCTTAAAAATAGACTGAAAATATGTTCTACAAATAACTAGCTAGTGACAGACTTTCCGGTTTCCTATTTATGTTTTTTGTTTTTTCTTAACTATTTATAGTTTACTAAATAATAATATTGAAGTTAGGCGTAAAGTGTTAGTTGATGACAGAAAGCCAACTGATGAGGTTGTGAGGCTGCATCGATTGAGATGTCTAGGAAACGTGGTACGCATCCCTAACCATCGCCTTTCTCATCGACCAATGTTAGCTGAGGGTGGTCAAATCAAAACATGGAATCTTTGACCGTTGGTTTGAGTCAACCATTTGGGGAGATGTAGACCGCCTGGTTGGGGTCGCAATGATGCTAAGAATCAATGGCTGGAGACTGCTGGTGATATGACGGGAGACTTCTCAATGGAATAAATGTATCCATTATTTACGATCTCTCGGATTCGTTGAATCTTCAGTTTTCTTCATGTATGTATTCTGTATGCCATACATTTTCGACCATTATAGTGAGGTGTAGCACTTCTGTGAAAAGTTCCCCATTGAAACCCGGTCAGTCAATCATAGATTGGAAGTCAGTAATTCTATCAGAACCACAAATCAGTCGTGTAAGCATTTATGACACAGCAGACTCTTGTAATCTTGATTACAAAATCTATAAGTTTTTCGATGAGTTACTGAATCTGAGGGCAAAAATAATTATTTTCCGTCTTAATCAGTTGTTCGAGCAACTCAACTGCCGTCCGAATTTCCTGTCATTAGGACATTAATAATAATTAATACTTTTCAAAATATGATTTAAATGTTGTGGATCTTTGATAATCAGTTATTGTATTGTAAGGATGATTATTCATGTAATGAATTCGGATGCTTTTTCGATGTGTCAAATGTCGAAAGTTTCATTGGTTTCCGTAGTTAACTGCATTGCTAGTGATAAAAATCTGAAAGAGTTGATGTTCATTAGGTCTTTCCTCATAGGACGAATAGGGAGTAGTGTAGCTAGCATCGTTGATCACTTGCGATTTGCAGTTGACACAGTTCAAGATGAAATCTCACGCCTGAATTCGGTTGATTTGAATTGAGTCAAACCGGGTTATATCTGTGATGATGGGCTGGGCCTAGAACAAGTAAAACGACCATCTGGTGTTTAGATCACTTCAGCCTGCCTATCAATCACTAGTGGTTGATATGATTGTAATTGAAGTACTTATGTCAGTCAGTCAGTCAGTAGAATGTAACATCTTGCTTTACTTTTCTCCTAACCACTTAAAGGTTTTCCTTGAGCCTTGATCATATTATGGAGTGTCCTATGCGACAGATTACTATGTGTTTATCGTTGTGTACTTTCATCAACTCTGTTGTAGGCATAGTAACATAGTACCAGTTATGCAAATAAGAATATGGAAATGACAGAGAGAAGTGCTGGGTGTCTGTCATGCTTTGTTATCAGTCAGATTAGGTTGACCCTTATACTGGCTAATATTTCTATTTATAATGCTACGGGAATGTTTATTATAACTCCATTGTTTAGTGTAATCAAGGTAATTAATTTTGCTTGAAATATTACTGAGGTAAGAAACAAATATGCAACGGTATTGTTTCGGTCTTGTCATGAACCGTCATCAGTTAGCAAGTCATTGAAAATCATGGAACACTTGATGACTGTTTCACTGTGGTTTAGATCTTTCCAACAGTGCACATCTACGAGGAATCCAGCGTAGAACTTTCTCATTATGCGGCGACTCCTCAATGGACCATTCAACCACTGAACTGTGAGCTCTGTTTTCTCTTAATTTATAGTAACGGGTTACAGTGTCATCGATGGTCATCCAATCATGATTTTTGATTAGAAGTTCACGACTTTCACACTTTAGCCTCTATTCAAGAGGAAATTGATATTAAGATTTTTATGGGTTTATAGAGATAACCTATTCCACAATGAAAGCTAGTCATAATTCCTACAAAATCCAGAAAAAGCGATCAATTGATTATATCGTCTCTTCCTTTTTATCTAATAATTTCTTTAATGTAACTTCACTTGTAAAAGTTTAAAAACTTTTGTGATTACGTAATTGTCCAGTGGTTCATTAAGCCCATTCTAATACATCACTGTTCATGTATGACCTTTAGAACAAATGTTGATTGTAAACTCATTGATTTTTTGGATCAAATAATAATAATAATAACAATAATAATAATATGATAAATGTTTCGAACGTCATTAATAACGATGATTATATTAACGAACTTATACCGCCGCCACTCTTTGTGTGTCACTTTCTAGCCGCCCAGTTAGGATTTCTAAAGTGAAAGACAAGCTGGCTAGCTGTGAAACGTCTATGTCTATCTACAAATTTAGTTGTTCCTGCGGAGAAAGCTATATGGGGTGAACAACTACGCAGCTTAACAAATATATTACTCTGCCTCTTACTTCATGGTTCGGAAAACACCAAATAAAATCTATAAGAAGTTCTATTTTGACTCATTTGATTGATCACAGTGGTCACCAAGTGGACAGGAGTGGTGCCTTCAAAGTTATCTATCGCATTCCATCAAGCCTTTCGAACGGAATTCGAACCCGCCTTCTAAACATAGAGGAAGAAACTATGGGAATTAATTCGACAGAACAATCCTAGTTATTACATACAAAAGAAGTTTGTTTTACCTTTGTCTCTCCTTTGCTTGCCTAGGTGAATTCTAATCAAAACCCTCCCACGCTTTCTTGTTTTCCACTCACCACTTTCGTGTTTTACCGATTATCTGACCACTTCACCTAACTTTAGTATTGCGTAACGTTTAAGGTTTGACCTAATTTATTTATCTATTGAATTGTCTACATACACAGATATTACTACCTTTGTTATTCTTATCGCCACCTGCATTAAAGTCAAATGATCTTGATTTGTGCAATCAGATACCTCAGATTTACAAATGGTCATAATCCTCGTTGAAAATGTCTCCTAGATTTGGTTTTTGACTTCTCTGTGGAAAATGTGTCCATAGGGAGGAATAAAACATGCATATGTGGAGGGAT